GGGTTATGGATTACAAAGTCCAAGCAGTCCCATGTCCAGATGGCTGGGAAATTCTGGAGTTGTCCAGAATGTAATTTTTCTGAATGCTGTTTAAGACCAGGTATTTCACCTTTGTACTAGAACCCTAAAATCTTTCCTTAATCCCCACTGCTGAATCTTGAATTACAAAGCCTGACAGCAAGTCTTCTTGTTGCTGCTGCTGTTTATTGAGGCCAATCAAAACATTATCAAGTCTTAAAAAGAAGTGTTCCCATCCATGGCTTTGGACTACAACTCCCAGAAATCCCCCAAATATCATGACCATGGGCTATGATCCACAAGAAGTCTGGGTATTTTAGTCCAAAAGGTACATTACTGGTCCTGAATAAATTTTCTAGAACTATTTATGGAAAAAGCTACTGAACAAAAGATATGAGGGAAACAGAGATTGTACTTTCACATCCATACCTGCAGTGCATAAAATGGAAAGTCAGAGGAGTTGTACAGACCAGATTCGAGTAGTTTTGTTGGGTCGTTAACCTAGAGGCTATTGTATTAAGGAAAATAACAGTGGGGGTTTCATAAATGTAACAAATATCACAGAAATGAATAGGTTATAGACAGGTTAGCCAAGACATTTTTGCTTAAGGCAACAAAAGTCCTACTTTTTACTGCCTTGGAACATGTCAGTGGGCATGCTAGCTAAAGCCTGCCATGTTGTTTGTCAGTCTGAGGCAGAAAAAATCTCACAAGATCCTCACATTTCCCCAGAATCTGGTAAGAAAAATTCGACGACAATAAATTATACAACAGTTAACTGCCCTTTCATGACACACAAAGTTTGGTGGCTACCCTGTTCTGCTGAACAGTAGGACCGGCCTACACTTGGATATGGAGGAGGTGGGAGAAACTACTACAGTCCATTCAGATTACTTACTTTTAAAGAGGGCATCTACATCTGCATACATCCGCATGCACACATCAGTATGAAGACACATTTATGTTCCATAAATAAAATCACAAAGGCCTTCAAAGCAGTTAGGCTCACAAAGGCCAATAAACTACATTTAATCCCTGGGATGAATTCACTTAAATCTCATTCTGCATTGATATAGCATGGCCCAGATTTAATCAACCAGATGGAAAATAAAAGTCCCATGGGCAAGAACTAAGCCTTTTAGCCTAATGATATCTTAATACTGGGGCAGGTTTTTTTACAAGGGGGAAAAAAACCCTAACACAGAATGGCTAAGGTTACAATTCTATGCCTACATATTTGAAAGCAAGCCTTCTTGGAAATAGCAGGAGTGACTTCCAAGTAAACATGGAAGTGGCAGACCAGCAAGATTACAAAAAGACAGAACATATAGGAAACTCTTATATGTAGTGTATGAATCCTTCTTTCAAGGCATTGCAACATGTTCTCTCTAGTTCTCATAGCAATCAATAAAAATTTAGATACCCTGTCAGTAATAGAAGTGGACGCACCCTCTAAACAGGACAGTAACAAATCTGTAAGGCTACCATGCAGAGAGACACCTATTAATGAAGAGATTGACTTCATTCTTCAATAACATGGAGAATATGGTGCTGCATAGCTTCCAGGCCAAAACCAGTTATTTTTCCTTTGTCTACATACACCTGTTCATTGAAATGGAACAAACAGAAAAGACTGGCACTGAACTCTGCTCATTATAGATCTTGCCTATCATTTAGGAAGGATGCCAATTAAAATCAATACTTTCAATTTCACACAGTTTACCCGGCCATTATATGGCCCCACACTCGTAAGAGCTCTAATTGATTGCTCGCAGTGGGCAATATTTAGGCACCACGTGTTTTGCTGTTTCATGTTTCAACAAAGGGAACTCCCTATAACTATATTTTCCATATCATCCTCATTTCATTTGGCTCCTCTGTTGCATTTTAGGTCAATTAAAACAAATGTTTCGTTAAAAAGATTGATCATAGAAGGAACAGAACTGGGGGAGTTTTCAGTTTCTTATGATGAAATTGCTACTGTTGTTCTCTGACCTTCTGGGGCTTTCAGATGTTCATGTAACTAACAAAATGAAATAGGGAAGCACATATGCACACTCTGCAGAAAAGTTCCTTCTTCAGGATCTAAAAGGATCTCCCAAGACAGATGTCTTACACAAAACTGGACAGTTTTCTTTGCATATTTCTCCAGTGTCACCTTCATAGAAGAAACTCTACCCTGAGTTTGGACTGTGAACACTGAGATTAGCTGGAAGCCAGCATTTGAGTCTGTGGGAATGAAAATTCCCAACTTTCTCTTTCGTTTGCAGCAACAATACAGTACATGCACTTTTAGCAGTGTAAAAAGTCAGCTCTTTCTTTGGTAACTGTCCACACGTATGGTGCTGAAAGAAACGTTTCTATCTAGATGTGAGCAGCATATGCTCCTGGGGGAATAATTTACTCAGGCTAGGTCATACTCCGATCTTGGTTAAATATTGCAATGCTGTGAAGGATGCCAGCGTTGTTTGATTTTTTAAAAAATTCATTCTTTCCCCCACATACTTATTAACTCAGCAAATGCAAGTATTATGCCATTTCTCTGCACAGACTTTTCACTTCTCTGTTCCCTGTGTCTTTGGTTACCTGATACCTTTTACAAATGATTAACTCACCTAGTTGAGCAGGGTTAATATAGTGAGGAGCCTATTTATCCTGTCACTCCACCATAGCAAGATCACCTACAATTATGCAAGTGTTTGAAGAATGTGTGTTCAGGGACATTTGGCATAAATATTCTACATCTCAGAGAAACATTAATCATCTATTTACCTATATGATCAGGAGGATCCCTGAGTGATGAAAGAAAAGGACTTTCTGTTCTTCTGTCACTTTTTAAATAATTGCTTTTGAAAACATATATCTTTTTCTGTTTCAAATATAAACACAGATCAGTCAGTAACAGACATTTCACTGTGAAATGAATGAAATAATGAGCCTTGACAAAAGAAAACAGAATATGGATAGTTATTTAGAACGCTTGAAATATGAGTATGCAGTATCCCAACCACCTCAAACGTGTCCCACAGGTGATCGACAGCCTGTAGATTCATGACAGTTTTTCAATTTATAATCAAGACAACTATTTTATGATCAACACTGCCATTTTATGACTGGCATAGCCAGCAATTAGTTGCAGTACAGAAGTAAAAACAGAATCGTAAGTGACTGGTATAGGCTTTGTATATAGTTAGCAAGTGAGAATTTAGGTAAATGTGCACATAAATAATTCAATGTAGAAGCAATCTTTGCCTTACAAATGGCTCACACTTCCTTTTCTCTGCTCTCCTTGAACTATTTTAAAAATAGCATACATGATTCATGCTAGGCTGCTTTATTTATATACTTTCTTTCACTCTGATGCATTGTTTCTCAAAAACACAAATGCTGAGACATCCTTAAAATAGACAATGGGGTGGTGGAAAGCTGATCAATGTGGTCTATACCTTTGGCACATGGCCATCAAGTTTCTGTTAACAGTTTGCATGGATATCAATGGAAAGCTTTCTTCCAAGTCCACTTGATATGGGGGTAGTTCAGAGTGGGGGGAAACAATTCCCTCCCCACACCTTCTGATGTAATGAGGCTTGAAAGATATTTCCCGTTGACTTCAATAGCAGTCTTCTCCCAATCCAAACTTCTTTGCAAGAGGAAAATTGGGGCTGAAGCTAAGATGGGAACATTTAACCTTAATGCACTGTGACATCTTCAAATTCACACACACACATACACACCCTAGCAATTAGGCTTGGAAAACTGAATGCTTTGTCAAGCCTAGTTGCTCTGGCTAGCCACGTTGGGCAGTATCTCAATGTGTATTTATGCCATGTGTAAGAATGGGTGGCATTTGTGTGTATAGTATGAACAGGCAAATGTATTATGGCTGAAAATATATGCATATTTGTATGTGAATAAAAAAGGCTGGATTCAAGAAATGGGATGCTACCAAATTCTGCAGGCACCAAATAATAGTTAGATCAGTAGATCAAAATCAACGTATCCTATTTTTCTGAATTCAAAGGTCTATTCAGGCATACAGTGAAAAACAAAAAATCAAACCCAGTGAAACAAATTACAAAATAAGACAAATATATATTTCATGCATGGATTCTAATATATTTTTATATTAGAAATCTTTAATATAATTTAATTATGCATCGCACAGGCAACCACTATTAACCATCTGTCATCCACCATGTCTTGGCACTGCATTAACAGGCAGATACATGAATGTTCAGCTAATTCTGCCAGCTCCAAATGTACTTAATCCAAAACCAGCACACTCTTTCCTTACCCATTCAGTACAACTCTCTTCTTCGCCATTATGTTGTGGATATAGGAGACAACCAACTGGCATGTGCCTTTCATAGCCTTTATCAGAGTAGATTTATCCAGTTTTGTACTGTATATTATCTTAGTGAACAGATTTGAAATGAACTGGGGGATATATAATCACCTGTGCCAGGAGGTTTCAACCAGGACAGAAGAATGTCATTTGTATTTATAATTTTGTTAATGCATTAATAAGATTCTCATAGGAATAAGATCCAATGAGTCCCCATCAGATGTGCATGGGAAAGTGGTGGGACTGAGAGAAGCCAGTCTCCTGAGGATCCCAGTACACATGGGAGTGCCTATAGGGAGATTTGGTGTTTCAGATGAAGGTTTAAAGCTGTTGTAACAGAGCACTGAAGGGACCTGTGCGTGAGGCGGGCTGTCCAAAGGGGAAGGTCAAGGCAGCAACCACGGGCAAGACCGGCCCTGACATTAGGCAGAGGGAGGTCGCCAAGTAAGGCAGCGAAATTAGGTGTGATGAAAGGCCAGCAGTAGCTTAGTGACTTAATTTCCTCTTTTATATATTTTTTTATTACCACCAGCCAGGAAGAAAATCTCTCTCTCTCTCCCTCTCTCTCTCTCTCTCTCTCTCTGTGTGTGTGTGTGTGTGTGTGTGTGAAATGGCTCGGCGGGCCCCTCCCTCAGCTGCACCGTGGATTGGACCGCGGCAGTAATCAGGCCGGCCCGGATTAGTTTCCGCAGCTGGGCGATGCAGACGGCCGCAAATGGGCCCGATTTGCTCCCTCTGTGCCTCTGCTCCTTCCCTCCGGATGGGAGCGGGGCCATAGCCGGCCGGGATCGCCGCCGCCGCCGCCGCCATCTCGCGGGGGTCTGAGAAAAAGCCGCCTCCCTCCTCCTCCTCCTCCTCCTCCTCCAGCACCACTCCTCTTCCTCCTCTTCCTCCTCCTCCTCTTTCTTCTCTGCTCCGCTCCATCCTTCCTGGCGGAGGGAAGCGTCAGCCATGGCCGAGGTGCCCACCCTGGTCAGGATCAAAGTCGCCCTCAAGATCCAGCCCAACGACGGGCCCGTCTATTTCAAGGTCGACGGCCAAAGGTTCGGCCAGAACCGGACCATCAAGCTGCTCACGGGGGCCAAATACAAGGTCGAGGTGGCGCTGAAGCCGGGCACCGTCCAAGCCACGTAAGTGGGAGCCCCATCGCCTGCCCTAGAGCCGCTTCTCTCTCCCACCCACCCCCCGACTCTTCCCCTGGGATGGCCGCCCTTCCCTTCTCCTCCCACCCCAGCGCGGGCAGTTCTCCTTTTAGAGAGTTGAGATTTGGTGCCTGGCAAAGCTGCCGGCGAGAGCGTCCATATTTTATTGTCCCCCCCCCTACCTACTTGGTCGGCTTCACCCTGTGCTGCCACGGATCTCGGCAAATTTGCCTCCCTCCCTCACACACACACCCACATACACACACACACCCGTCTTTCTCCCCCTCCCAATAAATCAGGTCTGCAGGGATCCCCAATGCACGCACTCGAAGGCGCACATACACACCCGGACTCTGATTCCTTATATGACGCCAGGATTATTAAACTGCTCAGGGCGATTCCTGTTCGGAAGAAACGCTCTGAGCCCATACCTGACAGTACCTGAATGTGGAGTGCGTAAGTGTCTGTGTGCGTGTGTGTGTGTGTGTGAGTGAGTGAGTGAGAGAGAGAGAGAGCGAACGTCTTTTTTGCATCGTCAGCTACAAATGACGGGAAACAGCTCTTCGTTATATAACGAGTGGCCCAGTGTAGGCATTGGCTTCTAGGCTGTAAATGTCTTAATGCAGGACACACAAAGGGGCTTCTTATAGGCTCGTGCTCTCTCTCTCACTCAACTCACTCACACACAGAGAGAGACTGACAGTCTTCTCACCTCTTGCCCTGTTATCTCCAAGAATAAACGATGTCCTCTTTGGCTCCCTCTGCCAACCTCTTGGATGACTCCTAAATGAAGCCTCAGGATTATCTTCCCTGGCAGCATCATAGCCACCACCCACACCCTTCCTTCCCTCCTAAAAAGGACTCTGCTGCTCCCTCTTTCAAAATGGTGCAGGTGGTCTCCAGAGAAGAGGCTACAGCTGAATCCTAGAGCACCTTCCTGACATTCGCAAAGACCCAGGTTTAATCTCTGGCATCTCTCTGTTGACTCCTTGGAGTCCATTCATTGGACCAACTCCATCAAGGTAGCCACAGCCTTGGGTTTGGCAAGATCTGAGCAGAGCTGTTAATGACAGGAGGTCACTCATTCTTAGGGTCACCAGAAATCAGAAATGACTTGACAGCCTGTAACAATATCTCTAGGTGGATGAAAGACCCTTGATGGAGACTCTGGAGAATCATGGCCTGTGAGCGTAGAGAACCAGTGGCTTGCCTTGATATAATGCAGCTTTAGGCAGCCTTTGGAAAAACACAGACAGATCTTCCACTCAGAGCTGTAAAAAAAAATTACAATAATGCAAGTCTTTTTTAAAAAAAAAAAAAATGCAACTCTCATATTTCAGTGTATTACTGCCTTCCCAGATCATGGTACATTTTCTCATCCCCTCTGTGTTTCATCTGATTAGATTAGTGGAATTTTTGTGATGATTGAATCATTTAGAGTCACAGCCACATGTTCTAAAGTAGTATATATTTAAAACATCGGGAGGGGGAGGGGAGAAAGTGTAACACACACCCTCTTAGGAGGAAGGTGGTATAATTGAGCACTTGCTTCTATTTGGTTTTGGGGATTCATAGTATATATGTGTGTGCACAGATGTCTCTGTGTACACAAACACACACACACAGAGATCTATGGATTGCAAAAACTGCTGAATTCTAAGAATACTCAGTTCCATTGCAGGACGATGGGTATCGGGGGAGTAAACGTGCCCTTGGAAGAAAAGTCCAGGGAGCCCCAGCTCGTTACTTATACTGGAATCTACGATACAGAAGGAGTTACTCACACCAAAAGCGGAGAGAGGCAGCCTTTGCAAGTCAACATCCAGGTAGTGTATATTTCTGGATCTGGCGCCAGGTGAAGGCTTTTTAGCCAGCTCAAGCAATGGTGAGGATTGTATCTTGGTATGAATGAATGAACAGGAATGTAACATTTTGATAGATGGTAGAACAGAAGAATGGCTTGAGAAATAGACTTGGCCTCTGAATCATATTCCTTACAATGAAACAAGGTTACTTTCTTATTTTGTCACTCAGCTGCAAGGTATACAAAATATGCCATCTTTCCTTTAAAATGTCCAGAGCAGAAGAAGGGCATAGTTTTGCCTCTTTTAATTTCCCCTGGACATGGACTTTTAAGCACCTGTGACTGCTTGAAGCTCCAAAGATGACCAACCATTACTCTGCACATCTCATGACCTCAGATGCCCCACTTGATGCCCTAGTTCACTCAGGCTCCAGCAGTTAAATGCGGTCAGGTCTGAGTAGACAGATTCTTGCGGCTCAAGGGGACTTTGCAGAAGCCAGTACAGTATATCATCACAGTCATCTTTGGCCTCACCGCTCCCTCCCCATTGAACTTGCCAAATGGCTCCATGGTTTAGGTTGGGAGTTCAATTCCCCCGCGGTGCCTCCTTGAAAGGGGCTGGACTCGGTGGTCCCTTCCAGCTCTGCGGTTTCAAGATTATTATTAAGATTCTAAATAGGTCCTCAGATAATGGTAAAATGATCCAGCTGTGGGGGTCGGGGGAAGCCGTTGGATTGCTCAGAAGAAGAACTTCAGGCTTGAATAGGTGAATGCCATCCAACCTCCAAAAGCTCAGTTTTGAGATATTACTTTCAGCTTCCCATTTTGTATAACATCTTCAGTGTCATCAGCAGGACAGGCAACAAGGATATTTATGTAATGTATTCAATATTTATGTAATGCAATGTTTTCAAGACCAGAGAGAAAACCTGTTCATAAGATGAAGAGCCGGACATGATGAGAACGTCCTTCTCACTGAGCTGGTCCCATAGGGTTGGGCTCTATGGCTCCAAATTACCATCGGGAGCTCACCTGATAATGGGGAAGAGGACTCTAGCCTAGCTCTCTCTCTCTCTACCCCTCCTAGCTATGCACAGGAATTATGCCAAGGAGAATTCAGAGAGAAGCAGAGGGACTCTGAGAGATGAACCACCTCAGTGAGAATGAGGTGCCCGTGGAAGCAGCAGCAGGGTTGGAGCTAGTGGGGGCTTGTGACCAGGCCAGTAGGGCAACCCCAGAAACTTTAAGGTGAGGCCCCTCCATCCCACGCCATGAGCCACCCACAGCTGAAGCTTCTCAAAGGCCACACCTGTTTGGCTGAATAAAATAAAATACAGTTACTCCATGGAAAAGGAAACTGGAGGTGTGTGACTTGGTCAACAGCTTTGTGTAACAGCTTCTGGGCAGAATTCAGCAAGAGTTCTGAATGTCAGCACTGTTACTCATTAAAGATGCTGCACTGTCTGTTCTTGGGTGGAAACTGGGGGTACAGCACAGAATTGTAGCCTAGGTGTAGAAATGACTAGATAATGGCTGGTAGATCCCACTGTTTCATTTGTGCTCTTCAATGAGAACTGGATTCTTTTTACTTCATGTTAGGCTGGTTCACATGTTTCATCCCTTGATTGCCAGCAAGTACTGATGATCTGTTCCCATATTCAGATCATAGTATTTTTTGTCATCTGACGCCAGTGCTTTTCAGTAGAGCCTGCTGAAACCATTCAGAGGTTTGCCTGCATGTATACAGAAATCAAATTAATTATCTCAAATCTTATATCTGTTTATGTGAGCCAGACCTTCCTTGGGGAAAATGACCACCCCAAATGTTAATTCTTAAGTGTTCTTTATAAGTACTCTCTTATTTGGCAACAGCTGTATACTTTCCAGCCTAAAACTAAAATCAGTTTAACATGTGTAATCTACTGCACTTTACTGCCTAATTACTCTTTTCTGATGTATCACAAATACATGTCTATGCACATGGACACACACACACACCCTTTGTGCTATATTTAAGTGTGTGGGTGGAGGACAGAAGTTAGTTCACCCCAAGGTTGTAACAATTGCCCTGATAAATTTCATTTAAGCCCAGAGCAAAACCTTGGGGATGTGCAAGGTGTGGGAGCCAACATGATGCCCTGTCTTTCCTTTAGCAATTAAGTTTTTCCAGGAGTTAATAGCTTTTGGCCTGAGGCAGCCAGATTCCACTGTAGTATCAAAATCTGATTCACTCAGCAGTGCTTGACAAATGTGATGCCATGGCATGCATGATGTTAGAAGCCTGTGTGTGCCATATTCTCAGTGACACTGGCACTCTTCTTAAGCTGAGAGTTCTTTCAGGATCAGAAATCCTGGACTCAACTCAAGAAGGGTGAAGAGCTGTATAAATACAGTAGTGCCTCGCTTAGCGATTGCCTCGTTTAACAATGTATTCGCTTAGCAATGAGGTTTTAGGAGCGATCTTGCACTCCGTTTAGCGATGTTTCCAATGGGGGAATTTCGCATAGCGATGTTCGGGACCTTGCTTCGCTTAGCGATGACAGTTTAGGTCCCCCTGTTTTGCTTAACAATGCTTCTGCCAGCTCCGTTCTTGCTATTTTTAAAAGGTGTTAAATTGTTTAAAAAGGGTTTAGAGCACTTGAAATCGTTAGTGCGCTTAATAAACCCTTTGTTAACCAAATTTGGTTTCGTTCTGACTCTTTTTGAATTTTTGGTGATTTTTTTCTCCCCCATTGAAATGCATTGAAAAGGTTTCAATGCATTTCAATGGGGGAACCACGTTTCGCTCAGCGATGTTTCCTATGGCGATTTTCGCTTAAGGACGACAATCTATTCTCATTGGAACGGATTATCCAGTTTTCAATGCATCTCTATGGGAAAATGCGTTTCGCTTAGCGATGTTTTCCCATAGCGATGAATTTTTTTGAACCAATTAAAATCGTTAAGCAAGGCACCACTGTACTCAGAAAATCCCAGACCATGCATCCTGTATCTCTGGTGCACAATTTTGGCCCTTGGCCTTCTTATGATCTCAGCCTTCCATGCTTTGCTGGAAAGATCACAGAAGCTAACCAAGACTGAATACAATGGACACTTCCCTTCTCCCATCAGTTCCCAAGGAATAGCAGCTGTGTTAGTCTCCTTCAGCAAAAACAATCAGGAGAGTTACAGGTTCTGTTGGACATCAACTCTTGTGGACTGTGGACTTGTTAGAGGGCTTGTTAGTCTTTAATGTGCCAAAAAATTATTTGTGGTATTCTCACATCGTTGGTGCATCCATATTTTCAAGGGTATTGATTCCCAATCAATGTGTTACCTACATTTTAGGGAAGGCAAGTCTAAGTCTGGACAATCTATTCAACATAGTTATTTTAACCAATGATGAAGATAAAAACATTTTTTCCTAAATTTTCAGAGTGTTTGAATTATTTTCAGCCATGATGGTTCAAACTTCAGATAATGTTATCATCGAGGCAAGTTTCAGAGGATGCATAAGATTTTATATGAGGCAAAAACAAAATAAAAATAATTTTTCATTTTAACTAAAGGAAAATCATTTGTTTTTTAATTTTGTTTTTGCCTCATATTCTTGCTACATGGCTACCTCTTCTAATAAGATCTTCTGTTTCTCTAAGTCAGAACTGGGTTAAAGAAAATTTAAAAACGCAGTAATTTAGAGCTTTCTAAACATCACTTAAATATACATGTCAGTGACAAAGGAGGCAGTAAAACCTTAAACACTGATCATCGAATCATACATTTTGAAAGATAGAAGCTCAGTGTGACATTTGTTACAGCTGTGGCTCTGAGGAGAACTCCAAAAACAGAGGCAGCTGTGTTGACCGACATTAACTCATCATATCTAGTCATATTAATCTCCGCCACGAACAAGTCTTTTGTAAAGTTAGTGGATCATACCTTCCTATTCAAAATCAAAATATCTCCACCCACCCACCCAGTACTTTGGATTACAGGGATAGTTTATATTATTTCTAGGGGAAAGAAAGACCAAAAAGACGGCAGACTGCTTCAAAGCCCATTCGGATGAGTTGATGGCAGCCATCAAGAATAAGAGGAGAGCTCTAGCAGCATACAAAGCCTGTCCTAGTGAGTACAGCTTGCAGGCTCTTTGACTTGCTCGTAGCAAAGTCCAACAGGCTGCCAGGAGATGCTCCAATGATTATTGCCTCCAGCTCTGCTCTCAGATACAGATAGCAGCGGACACAGGTAACGTCAAGGGAATGTATGATGGTGTCAAGTAGGCTTTAGGTCCAATACAGAAGAAATCTGCTCCCTTGAAGTCTGCTACAGGAGTGATCGTCCAGGACCAAGCACAGCAGATGGAACACCAGGTGCAGCACTACTCTGAGCTATATTCCAGAGAGAATGTAGTAACTGAAGAAGCATTAAATACCATGGAGTGCCTGCCTGTCTTTCAAGAGTTGGACAGCGAACCAACTTTAGCAGAAATAAAAGTGGCTTTGGATTCCCTCGCCATCGGCAAGGCACCTGGGAAGGATAACATCCCTGCTGAAGTACTGAAGTGCTGTATGAAATCTTTTGTCTTTGCTGGAGGGAAGGTGGAGTACCACAGGACATGAAGGATGCAAACATCATCACATTTTATAAGAACTAAGGAGACAGGCGCAACTGCAATAACTACCGTATAATAAAAGTGGCTTTGGATTCCCTCGCCATCGGCAAGGCACCTGGGAAGGATAACATCCCTGCTGAAGTACTGAAGTGCTGTATGAAATCTTTTGTCTTTGCTGGAGGGAAGGTGGAGTACCACAGGACATGAAGGATGCAAACATCATCACATTTTATAAGAACTAAGGAGACAGGCGCAACTGCAATAACTACCGTATCATCTCTCTTCTCATTGTTGTAGGGCAGTGGTCCTTAACCTTGGGTTACTCAGGTGTTTTTGAACTGCAATTCCCAGAAACCCCAGCCAGCACAGCTGGTGGTGAAGGCTTCTGGGAGTTGCAGTCCAAAAACACCTGAGTAACCCAAGGTTAA